TTCCTGCATGACGTTTCCCCAGTGTTCCCCCACTTCGTTGGATTGTGTCGTCCGCATAGGGTCCGGAAAGAACTGTTCGTTACAGTAACTCTACCACGGTTCAGAGCAGAAGGGTCTACAAGAGACCAGTGCTCTGGTTTCCCAGATATGTGAACAGGCTTGGGGTACAGGAGTTTTGGCGGCTGATTACAGCCCCCGCTGGGACAGGGATGGAAGAATTTGTAGAAAGCGTAATTATTCCTGAAAATGCGATATAGCCAGCCAAGGGGCATTCCTATTAATTTAGTGATCTCCTTTTGTGTTTGCACTACATTATCAAACATTCCCTACAATTGAAAATCAGGGGAACAAAGAACGAGCAAGAAAAAAAACCCAGAAAATCCCAAACTGCAACTCGTATTTAGCATGCATGTTACACTACAGTCTGTATGCAGAATTTCAATTAACATGATTTGTTTTTCCAAGTTAACTCCAGTTCATAAACACTTGCATAATATTTCTTAAGTTGTGAATATTTGAATCAAAGGATGTAACAGATTTCTCTCTATACAGATGCAGCCATTCAAAACGAGCGAGATGCGATGCGGTACAACGCAGTGGGTGCATCACAACGTGTCAAATTGCGTCCTATCGCATCATACCGCATTATACCACATGCAAATGTACTTATGTTAATAGTATCTGGAATGGCCTTGTAAAACCGCCTGGTGGAGCTAATAAAGCTTAACCTCTCATGTATAGCATTTGAGCTGTCGCCAGAAAACACCCAGTTTCGAATCCCGATCACTGCTGAGGGACAATCTTTATTCAATTAAGAATTTAAGTTGTATACTTTTAGACTTTTAAATTTAAACTGTGTATTACAGCATGTTAATCATTATACATTAAAAAGTTGGTATATTTTAAAATTAAAGTAATATTGCTCAGTTGGACAAAAGTACTCAACCTACCACCTTTATCATAAATATTTTAATTATGCAGAAATATTTTATGCATCAAAGTCTTTACCGAAAATATTACTAATAGTATTAATAATGAATGACCTTGGACAAGCTGTAAGGTCAAAGTATTACCCTGGTCCACTTTCTTTGTAACCGTCTTTGTAAACGAAAAGACTTTAGTTTTTCAAAAAGTAACACCACAGCATTTCGTTGATCCAATCACGTATTTGTTTCCAATCATGCAAAGTAAGTCTTGAGAATCTCCGATTCACCATGCCTTTCACATGCTCATAAACGATATTGATTTAGGAACACAAACATATTATGTAAACTGTATATTGCTGGTATTGGTATTTTAAAGAAAACATACACACCAGTATTGCACTTTCTCCCTAAAGATTTGAAGCATCAAAGTGGTTATTTCGGAAACGTTGTAATGTAATGTAGTAATGTAGGGATTTCTAAATTTATGTCTTTATTTAGTGGTTACATTAGTGACAAAAGCTTTTAGCTTCAGTAATGCGTACGCCATATGGCCGACATTACATCCAGTATATGTTTGTAATGACAATATAGTGTCGATAATATTTGTCAGTAATAATATCAGTAGCAGTATGGAATTATTCATTATTATTAATAAATGACTTAGCTTCCAACATGTTGCGATATTTAAAAATATAAAAAAAAATCAATATAGTGTCCATATGTATGAGCTTACAGCAGGAGAACAGTTTTTTAACAAAATCTGTGCAATACAGGAACAGTTATTTAATTAGATTTTTGCTCTTTAAAAACAAACAGCACTGAATCAGGTGTACGTCAAGGTTTGTGTTTGAAATCCATCACAGCCTGAGAAAATACCAGCATCATAACAGCAGTCCCCTTTATCAGCTGACTTACTCTTAAGGTGATGGACCTCGGAGGTTTCTGTGGTGGATCGTCATGTAGCCTGTCTCCCAGAGACGCCAAAATTCGTTTCCTGTGTCCCAGAAGACTAATCTTCAGCACCTGAAGACAACAAGAAAAGAACAGAGTGACTGTAAAACAGGGGCCACTTGCGCTACTGTGGCACTGAGCCTACTGCACAGACTTCATTACTGCTGTTGACTTCGAAGAGATTAAGGAGGCAGAAAGAGAAAAAATACATACTGTACAGACCCACTGCCTGCTTGCTTGCTCAGAGCAAGATGAAAAGTCAGACGCGGGTATGAAGTATCAGCCGTTCTACAGATCCCCCATCTCCTCCTCTTTTGTGCTTCCAGTGGCATGTGGCTGCTAAGGACCCAGGCATGCTTTTATACCTACAGCGCTGGCACCCTGCAAGGCTGAGCTCTTTACATTTTACCCCGGACTTATCTGGGGTTGTGATTATGTTAATTTGACAATTAAACAGCTACATAACCACCAGGAATGTTCTTTTTCCTCTCCTCTCGCCTCAGTCCACCCACAGCTCTTCTGCATCCCTGCTTCTCTGCTCGCAGGGACGCCGGAGATTTCAGCTAAGACAGCATCCCCGAGAACATCAGTCGAAGGTCCAGGGCTGCCCGGGCCCTGCAGTTAATAAGCTTTAATTTCACTGACAGACAGGCTGCTTTGGCATTGCTCACATACTACTAGACACTTTGGCTAAATCAGAGCTTTTCCATTTCCCCGCGTTCAGCAGCTGTCAGCAATAGCCTCCCCACCTGGAGTGTGTCTCAGCCAGAGACAGACGTCATCATGACAGGGAAAATCAGAGGATCTCGAAAGAATGGTAAACGCAGAAAGAGTTGGTAAACGCTTCCTTCACCACTGATCCAAAGTCAAACAGACCACAAAGGACTGAACAATCTACTCATACTGGAACAGATGTCTTCATTACCAGGCTTGTGGGAGTTCTAGTTTGTGCGCTGGAGGAGAGAAATCCAACAGAGACTTCTCACGCTCCACGTCTGTAAGGCAGACACACCGGCCTGGTTTTCAGAGAAGAATACATCTTCTCTGCACCTAAGCAACTACTGTTATGAGCTGCAAAATCATCGTAGAACTCATGTCCATTGACCTGTTGACAACAATGAAGAAATCACCTTGAATCTATGTACTGTGCCGTTAAAAACAACAATAAGGTCAGATTATTCTGAAACATATGGAACTGTTTTTTTTTTCTGTCAGGCGCCTTACGTGGATTACACAATTAAAGAGAAAAAAGGAAATGGATAAAAATCCGTCCCTATTTTTGGGTCAAGTAAAACAACAAAAACTCAACACGTCCCATCATCTTTTTGTCCTGTTGGCGTAACTTTTTGTTTGTCCAGAGTGCACTGAGATTCTAATCTGATTGTCCAAAGACAAACCAAAAACCGGTGACTTGCTCTTTGTGTTTTTCTTGTTTCACGCTCATAAAGTCAAAATGCAAACGCAGTCCTCTAGGTGTGCTATCCCAACGCTGGAGGTCCAGCACAGGGAAAGCTCAGAGGGTTGAGATGGGGAAGGAAAGAGCAGAGGGACATAAGAAAGGCGGCCGACATCTGCAGCATTCAGCTGGTTAAGCTGTTAGTGACTAATTGATCCAGGGATCAAGGATCATCCAGCTGCTTCTTGACAGAAGCCAGGGTATCGACCGGCATGGCTGGGTGACCTTCTCGCACTGTAAAAATCTCTCGTTAACTTCACACATACAGTCTCACAGCTCGTATGTCATGCTCGTGGGGAGTCGGTTTTTTTAAAAGTGGTTTATTACTTCTTATTTAATGTCTACATTTTCTGCAGGTCTCCCAGCTCCCAGGGCAGTGACATCCTTTTTGTTTGCCAGGACTCTTCATACAGTAGACTGAACACTGAGGATCACAGTCTACCTTCCATCACTCGGCACTCCGATTTCCTCCTGCTTCTTAAATTTTTATGTAAACTGAAAGGAACCTGCTTTGTGCGTCCCAGATACAAAAATAAACCAATGTGCACAAGAGGAAGAGGGAGTTACAGAAAGAGTTAGGATCTGGCTCAGACTGGTGATATTATAGTGGCAACACAAAAACAGCATCAGTCTGCACCTTGCGGAATTTAGTTCACGCAAACAAGAATCAGACAACAAGAAGATAAAAATGAACCCAGACTTCAGTAAAACCAAACAAAGAAACAGGGACTGAAATTACAATCAAATGCACCTCTTGCTTTGCTGTGAGCTTAATTGCGCACAGAGGAGTGTCTCACAGCAGCAGACAGCCTGCAGAGGGACAAACTGCCACTTCCATCTTCATGCCATTGAAGTACTAATCTCTTTCTTCATCTCAGAGGCCTGCCTGACAATTACATGAAGGCATCTGTTAATTTGAAAGACAGATTAAGCTTATAAGCAATCTTCTGTGTGCAAACACTCCCCGACTGCAGAACCGAAAGACTACAGCTTTACTCTCCAGAGCACAAGGCCCAGAACCAGAAGAAACGCACAGGATGTTGATGTTCAATGAAGATATCAGAACCAGAACCCAAGCCCACGTCAGGTGTGCTCCGAAAGAGTGCTCCATCTCTCCCCAATGCAACTCGTCACACGTGCCCCACATATGTCACCAAATAAGCAAAAATACTGCAAAGCCCTGCAAACATCTTAAATGCCCCTTCTTTTGAATCTCAAACGATACACATCATGAAACTTATTCCTAAAGCTTTGGAATGGAGCAAGTGAGAATGCTGAATTTGAAATGGGACTACCCCACGCTTCAAGGCCAGAAAATCCAGGCTAGGAGACTCAAGAATGCAAACCAGGAGCCGGAGAAAAAACTGAAAATTGGACCGCATGAAAAGGAGTCGGATAAGACAGGGTTTGGTGGTGTCGATTAAAAGAGATTTAAAACATCGGAGTGCAAAACGTGGAATCTGTTCTAGTGCCCGGGACAGTGAACAAACCTAGAAAATGCCACAGTGTAATTGCTTGGGCTTTTTTGGAATAAGATCCCTGGGGAGCTGTGTCCTTTGTGTCTCCTCCTGCTGCCTTCCCCTGCAGCGCTCACCTTGCGTGTCTTCGGAGCAGCGCAGAGCTGTGCGTGCCCAGTCTCGCTGGGACAGCCCTGCTGGCGTTCCTGCGCTCTCTGCTGCAGGCCCGCCACTGGGCAGCCAGCTCTGCCCCTGTGGCCAGCAGACAGGTGGCCAGACTGTCTCCAAAAGGCAGCGCTGGGCTGACAGTAAGTCTGACTCAATTAGCACCAGCCCCGGGGCCCCATTCAATATCGCACTGCCGAGAGGAGCTCTGCGCTAAGCATTGCATCCGGCCCTTTCGATGGTGTGGGGCAACCATGGAGGAAGCTCTCTGAATGGAAACCTGAGGTGAGGGCAACAACCACACAGCGATGACCCGGACCTCCCATTCACAGCGGCAGTGACCCAAAACAGCTCTTGGATAGCATGGATTTCATATTTCATATGTAGCCCATTTCAATTGCAGCACCACTCCGAGAGCGTGTAGCATACTGTGTACTGTGGCTTACGATTCCGATTGCCGATTCTGCTTTTAAGTCAGCACATGTGCAAGACAGCAATCTGTGGATTCGCAGTACGTGACAGGAATGCATCATTTTGTGGTTGCCCTGACACCGAAATTGATACCCGCATGGATAACACCCAGAATAACGATTAAGAGCTGAGCCAGCACTTTATCTACAGTGCAGAAATTAGAAAGAAGCGCAGACTGGATTAAAGAACAGGTGAAATGGCTTACAGTACTGTACATCACTTGATCTGTTTTCATTGGCATAGCTCTTTGCTCCTAAAACATGACTGGCTATTTTCACAAGGATTTCTATAGAGTTTTAACGGTTAATGCTCACTTTTTACTTCTCAAGCAATCCTCCCGCAGCACAATTTTGCTTTGCAGGTTCCAGAATTCCTGTTTCCAACTGGCTCGGTCCTGTTACCTGTTGCCATGACCGAGGTTATTAATTATCATATTCAATGCATCTGAGAGCAAGCTGGGAAGTGGTTGTACTCCAGACCAAAATGCACCT